ACTGGTACAGGAGGAAATTGTCCCTCCTTCCCCGGCAGAGCATCCGGTGGATTCGAACCGTGCGCCTCTGGGATTGCAGTGCAACTTCTTGCCTCTAGGCCACCAGAGGTCCCCCCAAGCTTGTTTTAAATGGGAAGCTCCACCAAACACTGTCCACCATAGGTAACCATTATCGCATTTGGCATCAGCGTCACAGTATTTAGCATCACAGCAACCACGAGTTGCTTCTGTACAAATAGATCAGTGCAATACTGCTTAGAAGAATGTTTGACCAAAAATAATTTAAACCAGGCCTGCAGTCCACAGATAAAAATCACCCACCTTGGACTTGGTAGCATCACTTTCTGTCCACTAGGCCAATGTAGCTTTCTCTATATTGTCGTTGTTATTGTTGTTAAATGCCCTATAAGATAGGGGTCAGAACAGTACCAGCCACATGGAATTGTCATGAGGATGGAGCATGTTGTTAAGTGCAGCACTTAGCAGAGAGCTTGGTGCATAGGCAGCACATAGGTGTTGCTTTTAGCTGCCATTATTATCCTTGTTTTTCTCACTGCCTCCAAGAGAACAAAGAGATATGTCTTGGAGACAGGGAAACCAGAGTGCTGCTTGGATGCAAGCATGGTGAAGTTTCATCTTTCATACTTGGGTCATGTTTCTGGGAGAGGCTGATTCCTTGTAAAGGGATATATATCATGTTTAGAAAGGTGGAGGGTCAGTGAAAGAGAAGACCCTCAACCAAATGGACTGACACAGTGACTGCAGCAGTGGCCTCAAGTGTGTTAGAGATGATAAGGATGGCACAGGATAGGACACGATTCAGATCTGTTGTTCATAGGGGTTGCTAGTGGTCATCACACCTAACAACAGTTAGGGCCAAGGGAGCTCTGGTGGCCTAATGGGTATGGGGTTGTGTTGCCAGCTCAGAACCAGACAAGGCGGTTCAAATCTACTAATTGTTCCTGGGGAGAAAGATGGGCAATCTCCTCCTGTCTGACTTACAGCCTCTGAAAACCTGCTAGAGGATCAGCTATGAATTGGTTCCGACTTGCCAGCAATGAACTGAGTGTGGGTTGAGTTAGGGACAGCGGTGGTTTGATGGTAGAGTGCTCACATTGTGGCCTCTGCACTGACCTGGGTTTGATTTCTGGCCCTGTGCACCTCCTGCACAGCTCCTACCTGTCTGTCAGGGGGGCTTGTGTGTTGCCATGAGGCTGGACAAACTTTAGCAATGCTTCCAAAATAACGAACTAAGAAGACAGATGTGACAGTCTACTTTTAAAGAAAACCTTGTGGCTCTTAGTGGTCCCGTCTGTTGCTAATAATGGGCTCAGTGCGTGGCACTTAACAAAATTGGATCTACTGGGAGATAGCAAAATTGCTTTTCATTCCTCAAGTGCCTGGTGAGGGCTGCACTTGGAGTCAACATCTCCATCATAAAGTCTTACCTCTTAGCCTTTACTTACACCAAAGTCCCTACCTAGGGTGCCATAGACACTCTCAGTCCTATCTGTTCTTCAAGGTACCTTCTCCTTGAGGGATTCTCTGCCACCCCATCTGTTATTGTTGTTATGTACTGTTGAGTCAGAACTGATTCAAAACTCACCCTTCAGTGGTTTTTATCACAGCAGGCAGTTAATCACATGGGAGGAGATTGCTCTGCTCCTCTTTCTTCCTGTTGGTGGACTTGAACCGAGTGCCTTTGGGTTGGTAGCACAGTTCCTTACCACCAGGCCACCAGAGTTCCCTCCACCCCATCTCGGCTGCTGCTTTCCCTGTCTGAGCTCTCACAGTCTTGCCAGTCTTCACCCCACACTGAGCAGAACAGACACTGAGGGCCCCGTGCGCTCAGCCTTGGCTCAGCTCTTTGCCCGCTTCCCAGATGCTCGTTCACCTGTACAGCATGCCACATGGAAAAGGGGGCTTCAGCCCTGCCCTTGGGACGCCCCCAGCAGCCTGGGAGATATCAAATATTGCACCCATGACATGACTTAGAGTAGGGAGAAACCAACCTGTCACAAGGCTGCCTGAGTGCTCTGTCTGATGCGGAGAATCCTTTCCAGGGACCTGCGGGAGTCATTTTACAAGTGACAAAGCTGAAGCTGGGACAGGGGAAGTGACTTGTCCACATCACATCTGGCCAGTCATAGCACAGCCAGCTTTGCCTGGAACCCTGAGTTTGTTCCAAAGACTTCACTTTGTCCACTTCCCCAAGTGCAGGGTCTTGAGCAAGGAATGCTGTTTTTCAAAGCAGAGTCCACAAAACTGCTTAGTGTTTTTCTTTTTCTTTTACTTTCTTTTTCATTCTCTTTCCCTTTTTAGAAAGTATGGTGAAAATATGCATAACAAACTATATGCCATCACAATCATTTCTAGGTGTACGATGACCTTGGTTACACTCTTCAAGTTCACTCATTCTCTCTGTCCTTTTCCAGATCATTCCACTGCCGTTAACCTAAACTCACTGTCCCCTAATCAGAAATTCTCTCTTTCCCATGCCTCAAAACTGCTGCTAATCATTGGTTTCTAAATATTTACATATTTCATAGAAGTCAGATAACATGTTGTGTGTCTTTTTGCAACTGACTTACCTCAGCATGATGCTTTCAGGGTTCAGCCATGCTGTAGCATGCCCCAGGATTTCATGTCTCTTCATGGTGGAGCAGTGTTCTGTTGTGTGCATGGCCCATTCATCCCAGAGAAGGTTAAACCAGGTGGCTCCTTGGAGGCAAGGATTCTGAGGCTTCGTCTAACATACTTTGGACATGTTGTAAGGAGGGACTAGTCCTTGGAGAGGGACATCATGCTTGGGAGGGTGGAGGGACAGCACAGGAGGGGAAGACCCTCTATGAGGTGGATTGATTCAGTGACTGGGTTAATTAGGATGGGTGTATCAAAGACAGTGTGATTGGCACAGGACACAGCAGAGTTTAGGGCTGTTGTACATAGGGTCGCTATGAGTCACAAGTGGCTTGATGGCACATAACAACAACAACATCTGTTGTTGTATGCTGACTGGTTGATTCTGACCCTATAGGATAGAGTAGAACTTCCCCTTAGCGTTTCTATGCTTGTAAATCCTTATAGGAGGGAGCTCTGGTGGCCTAGTGGTAAGAAGGTGTGCTGCAATCCCAAAGGCACATGGTTCAAATCACCAGTTGCTCTGCTGGAGAAGGATGGGCGATCTCTCCTGTGTGATTTACTCCCTGTGAAAACTCGTTGGAGGGTCAGCTATGGGTCCGTTCTGACTTGATGGTACATAACAACAACAACAACAAATCTTTGCCAGGATCCCTGGTGGTGTAGTCTGTAAGGAATTACACTGCTTACCCAAAGGCTGTACCTGTCTGGTGGTTTGTATGAGTCCACCATGGGAGAAAGAAGGTCCGTCTCCTCCCATGTGATTTACAGGCTCAGAAACCCAGTGGAGGGAGGGTCAATTATGAGAACTAGTTTTGACTGGAAGGCAATAAGTGAGTGAAATCTTTATGAAAGTAGATTGCCACAAGTTTCTCTTGTGGAGCAGTTGCTGGATTCGAACCACCAACTTTTCCGTTAGCTGCTGAGTGCTCTAACCACCATGCCACCCATCAAGTTGCCTTTTGTCCATTTATCTTTGGTGAACATTTGTCTTGTGTCCACCTTTTGGCTAGTGACAAGTACAGGAGTGAACAGTGGTGCTCAGGTTTCTGTCTGAGTTGCCACTTTTACCTCTGGGCATGTACCTGGGGGTTAGGATTGATGGAGCAGATGTAATTTTGTGTTCCGCTTTTTTTTTATTTGAAGCAATGTAGAACCCTTGTCCACAACCTGAGCCCACAGACTCTGAGTGTCTGGATGGGACCTGGGCAGTGGTGGGTGCTGCCATGGTAAACTAAGGCTCTTAGGAGGCCAGTGGAATTGAGCTTTGTCAGGGGAGGGTGACTGAGGGATGGCCAGCATTTGGCACATCTGGGAAGGTACTCTAGGCAGAGTTCCTACAATGGAGTAAGGTCCCCGTACAGGAAAGCAGAGGTCTAGGGCTGACCACGGTGGAGGATCATGACGTGACAAGAGCAGAAGGTGGTGTGGTCGCTGGAGTGAATCCTGTACCTTCTCCCAACCCCACTCCTGGTCCTCTCCTCCCAGGAGCAACACCACAAGGCCCAGGTGGAGCAGTTCTTGGCAGAGCATGGCAGCGAGTACCAGTCTGTGAAGCTGATGGGACCCGAGGTCCGAATGGCCAATGCTGATGCCAGGAACATGGGCGCGTGAGTGGGGGGTCGGGGGCAAGTACAGTGGGCATGGTGGATGAGGGGACCATGGGGTCAGGGGGACCCAGCTGGGAGTTAAAGAGTTCAGAAGGCTTCGTGATCTCCAGCAAGTACTTTTTCCTGTCTGTCTCAGAGTCTCATCTGTTAACTGGGAGATAGTGTCTGTCCCCTGGCCTGGGGTATCCTAGGCAGGTTTGAGAAAGATGTACTTGGGTTCAGAAAGAAGCACATCCAGGAAAGAAGGACTGGAGAAATTGAAGTGGGTGAAGGTTGACAGTTAGAGAAGTCGTCTATCTCAGTTATCTGACGGTAGGGGGCTTCTGCACGGTAGAGATTGTGAGGCTGGTGAAGAATCCGGTGGGGTTTCATTCTGTTGCATGTAGTGCCCCTAAGAGTTAGAGCCAACTTGATGGCACCTAATATCAACAGAAATACCATAAGGGGTGACTTTCAGGAATAAACATTTATTTTCTCACAGTTTACAAAGCTAGAAGTCCAAATTTCTCCTCTCTCTTGTTCTTATTTCCTTCCTTCCTTCCTTCCTTCCTTCCTTCCTTCCTTCCTTCCTTCCTTCCTTCCTTCCTTCCTTCCTTCCTTCCTTCCTCCCTCCCTCCCTCCCTCCCTCCCTCCCTGCCTCTCACTCGCTCTCGGTCTCTGTCTCTGTGTCTCTCTCTCATAGTCTGTATCTCTATTCTGCTCCTAGTGGAAAGTCCTTGTCTCTTTTCAGCTTCTCTTGTTGGGTTTGTTGACATTCTTCATGTGTGGTCTATCTTCTTCAATCTCTGCTTGCTTCTCAGTGCTGCTTTACTCCTTTTAGATCTCACCACTGACATGGTCTCAGTAACATTACACAGAAAACTCTATTCCTCGGTGGTGTAAGGCTTTTGAATTTAGAACACATATTTTTGGGGAAAACAGTTTGATCCATAAGACAATCTTTTCTTTTTTCCTGAATAAAAAGAAATACCTCTAAGTAATATGTATTGACTGAAGTCTTAGACAGCCCTGACGAGAGGTCAGCAAACTTCCTGGAGAGGGTCAGACTGAATATTTTTGGCTTTGTGGTTTCTCTTGAAACCATCTCCACTCTGCTGGTGTTGATCAACGATAGCTTTTATTGATGCTAATTATATACAAGAATATGTAAAAGAATGAAGCATGGGGAGTGTCTTATTTATGGACACTGAAATTTGAGTTTCATATCATTTTCATGATTTCATCTATTTTCTTTTGCTACCCCTCCCCGCTCACCCTGAGTTTAAAAACATAAAAACCATTGTTAGCTTGTGGATTGTGCAAAAGCAGGTGATGGTTTGGGTTGGAACCACAGACCATGGTTTGCTGAGCTCCTCAGCAGATACACAGAAAGAACATAACTTTTTAAGGTGTTTGATGCCAGTTTCCAAATTGCCTTTACACAGAGACACACACAGATACACACACAGACACACACACACACACACACACACACACACACACAGAGTCAGAACACACACACACACACAGAATGTTGGAACACACATCACATATACACACATAGCCGGAAAACACACATACACAAACAGTTGGAACTCACATGGTTGGAACACACACCCAGTTGGATCCTGCTTGGGGGGCCATGCTTGCCCCAGTACCAGGGTTTCCAGGGTTCTTGGTGCCAGCTGGCAAGCTCTGAGCCTTTTTCTGGAGAGCACAGTAGCCCATAGCCTGGATGATCTCAGAATCTAATGGGACCCAGTATGGAGTGGGACCCTGGAAGCTGCTGGTGCGAACCCCAACTTGTGATGCAGCCCCTCCTTAGGGCCCGGGGCCGATACTTGAAGTTAGATCAAATCCATGATGGGCGCGAGAAGAGACTCTGGGACCCTGGAGCCCAGCGCCACTGACCCAGCACCTGCCCTCTGTCCCACAGAGACCTGTGTCGGCAGGACCGCAGCTGCACCTACTACTTCAGCATGGACTCCGACGTGGCCCTCACTGAGCCTGACTCTCTGCGGCTGCTGATCGAGCAGAACAAGTGAGGCCTGGGCAGCGGCCCCCAGAGCCTCAGCTCCCGGCCAGCACTGTCCCTCTCTCACTTGCTCCCTCCCCCTCGATCTCACCTGTGGAATCCTGGTCCCTGCCTCCTGTGTGGTGACTCCAGGTTCTGATGGATAGTCACATCCCCCCTTGTCTTAGTCTGTGATGTACCCTTGCTCTCCCCATCCCACCTCTATGCCTCAGTCCCCTCCCAGCCCTTCAAAGCTGCACTGTGGGAGGGGGCAGGCACTACATCAGCCAAATCCACTTCTGGTCCTGCCTGGCCGCAGTGAGGTGTTTAGAGTTCGCGGCTCTCCCTTACCCTGCCCCTGGCTAGGTCTGCCCTCTCCCTCTGCAGTGGTCAGAGGACTGCCACTAAAATGCTCCGTCCGCAGGAACATCATCGCCCCCTTAATGACCCGTCATGGGAGGCTGTGGTCGAACTTCTGGGGGGCACTGAGTGCAGACGGCTACTACGCCCGCTCTGAGGACTATGTGGACATTGTGCAAGGTCGGCGCGTGTGAGTATCATGCTGGGGCACCACATTTGTGTAGGACGCCTCCCTCCCTGACATGTTCCTGTCTCTGCTAATCATGAAGCAGGGAAGACTGTAGCCAGATACTCAAAAGAACTTTCCTGACAATTATTCCAGGCCCCTTTACCCAGGGAGGGGAAGTCAGAGTCAGCACCATTGAACTCTTCTGCCCCGATAGCATCCATGACCCCTCACCCTGTGACTCCCACTATCTCTTTCATTTAGTGGCGTCTGGAATGTGCCCTACATCTCCAACATCTACTTGATCAAGGGCAGTGCCCTGCGGGCTGAACTGCAGCAGAAAGACCTCTTCCACCACCGCAAGCTGGACCCCGACATGTCCTTCTGTGCCAACATCCGGCAGCAGGTCAGCCTTGGGAACCTGGGTGTCTAGCTCTGCCCATCACAGTGGGCATTTCTGTCACCAAACTGGGGAGCTGCTGAGACCCCAGAGAGACTGTTCAAAGACCCCCAGGGCCTGGTGGGAAACACAGGATGTTGGGCATGTTGGTGTACCTCCAGCTGTCTGTTTTTGTTATGTGCCATTGAGTTGCTTAGGGCTCATAGTGACCCTATTATGCACAATAGCTCTGAACCTTGCTCTGTCTGGAGCCAATCTTACTGTCTCTGACACACCTACCCTCGTTACCCCAGTTATTTTCTCAATCCATCTCATCTGGGGTCTTCCTCTCCTATACTGTCTCTCAACACTTCCAAGCATGATGTCCTTCTCTAAAGACTATGTGAGAAGAGTCTCAAAATCCTTGCCTCCAAGGAGCAGCTTGGTTTCACCCTCTCCAGGGCAGATCTGTTCTCTTGGCAGTCCATGACATGTTAAAAACTCTTCTCCAGCACCACTACTCAAAGGCATCAATTCTTCTGTCATCCTTGGTCATTGTCTAGCTCTCTGATGCATAAAAAATAATTGCAAAGATCATGGCCTGGATCAGGCCTCTCTTAGTCTCTAGACTGACATCCTTGCTCTTCAGCACTTTGGAGAGGTCCCTGAGAGCAGATTTCCCTAATGCAATTTGTCTTGATTTCCTAAGTGCTGGTTCCAAGAGGGTTGATTGTGGAACTGAGCAAGCTGAAATTGTTAAAAATCTCAATCTCTTGGACACATTCTTCACACCACCGATTTTACTTAAGATCTTTGCATAAAGATAATTGAGGGGGCAATGGTGGCTCAGTGGTAGAATTCTTACTTTTCTTGCAGGAGATCTGGGCTCAGTTCCCAGCCAGGGTGCCTCATGTTTGGCTATCACTTGTCTGTTAGTAGAGGCTTTCATGTTATTATGACACTGCATAGATTTTAGTGGAACTTCCAGACTAAGGTCAGCTAGGAGGAGAGACCAAAAGATCTACTTTTGACAATCAGCTGTTGAAAACCTGTGGTCACAGTGTCAACCCCATTGTTCATAAAGCCACCATGAGCAAGGGGACCAAGTAAATGGCAGCTAACAATAATGACAAGATAAATTGTACTTATCACTAAATATAATCCAGTCATACTTTCACTGTGTCTAAAATTCAGTGTCGAAATGCCTTCTCTTTTTTTATGCATTCATTTGGTCTTTGACACATTTATCCATTCTTTTCACATTCACTGCTTCAGGAAGCTGTCCCTGATTGCATCCCCATGGTCAGGTCTGCCCTGGGTGTTGGGGACATGGGGCTGACTGCACTCAGGCCCTGTGCTTTGTGGGCAGAGGAAGTTGCAACAATGGCCCTTTTTGGGGCCTGAGGGGAATGGGAAGGCAGGGGAGCTCTCTTTTACCAGGCTGTTCTCCCTAGGATGTGTTCATGTTCCTGACCAATCGCCATACCTTCGGTCACCTCCTTTCCCTGGACAGCTACCAGACCAGTCACCTCCACAACGACCTCTGGGAGGTGTTCAGCAACCCCGAGGTGAGGGCCTGCGAGGGGAGGAGCATAAGAGACCCCCTTAATCCTGAGGCTCCTTCCTCTGTGATACCTCCTTAACTTTTTCCGGCCCTAGCACTCCTGTAGGGCCAGATTTACCTGCTGTGGCAGCGCCATCTAGTGGAGAAAGGAGATTTACCTTGAGAGGTTGCTCATCTTGTGGGAGTTTGAGGCCAGCTTTTGCCATTTGCTGTGATTAGTTGAGCCTCGGTGGTTTTTTCTTTTAATTTTATTTTTTATTTATCAGTTTATTTTTTTATTTTTGCTGTGTGTACCATAAAATCAGATCTGACTGCTACAGGAGGAGATTGTCCCTCCTTCTCCAGCAGAGCAGCATCTGGTGGATCCGAACAGCTCCCCTCTGGGATTGCAGTGCAACTTCTTGCCATCTAGGCCACCAGAGCTCGCCAGTGATTATTTTTTTAACTCTAAAATGAACATGCAGTCCCAGCCTCATTCATTGCAGAGAGTATAGCCAGAGGAGGTGACAGTTGTGACAGAGTACCTAGATGTTGGGAGCTTGTGGTTGATGTGGGTACACACATATAGACACACATTTAGACACATGAGTGCAAATACTAGCTCCCACGGGCATGTTTCTGCCCCCTATACAGCACACAAGTGCTCTGTGGGCAGAGGCACATGCCCACCCTCTGGTATAGGCACTTGTCCACCACATTGCATGTAGGGGTGTCTGTGGGGAGCATCCTGGGGCACTCAGTGTGTGGTCAGCTCCAGCTGTAGGACTCTAACCTGCCTTCCCTCCCCTCAGGACTGGAAGGAGAAGTACATCCATGAGAACTACACCAAGGCCCTGGAGGGGAAGCTGGTGGAGACGGTGAGAACAAAGTCCGACCCCTTCTACACCCCTTCCATATGCAGAGCTGGGGAGTGACGGGGGGAGGAACGAGCCAGCTGAGCTGGGTGGCAGGGATGCCCTTCTGTCTCCTGCCTGTGCTGGCATTGCTGGGGCCAGAGAAGAGCAGCTGATGGTGCTTTTCCACTTGCTGACATTTTCAGGCTGGAACTCGAGGGGCTTGGGGACTCTAGGCTTATCCCTTGGTCTAGGCAGGAAAGAGGAAGAACATCTCTGTAAATACGGTCTCAGTTGTGGGCCATAACCCTGCCTGACCCAGGATCTAAGAGTGGACCATCCTCTGGTCTTCCTAAATACCTACATCCCTTAGGAACCCCTGGGTGTGCACCCTCCTCTTTTCTGAGATCTTTGCTGAGAGGCACTATCTCTGAGCTCCTACCTCCTTGCTTGGCATCTCATGCAGTCCATACAGAACTGATGGAGCCCTGCTCTGTGGAGAAACTGGGCTCACATACCCGAGTGAGGGTAGGCAGGGGGCATGGACCGTCTCAAGGGGTTTCCTCTGCAGTGGGACCTGCAGAAGACTGTGAGCGCAGGAGGAGCATGTCGTAGACACTCTTTGGACCCCACTGACTGACACCTCCACCCCCTAGCCTTGCCCAGATGTCTACTGGTTCCCCATCTTCACAGAGGCGGCCTGTGATGAGCTGGTGGAGGAGATGGAGCACTACGGCCAATGGTCACAGGGTGATAACAAGGTATGCCCTGCACCCCTGCCTGACAGGGCTGCCTGCAGACAGAGAGACAGGGATTGAGAAACTGGAAGTGGAGCTGAACCCTAAAGTGGCCCTTGTGATCTGGAGCTCCCTCGACCTTAAATTGCTTCATTCTCAGTTCCTGATTCCTGATAAGAATGGTTCTGTTTTCTTCTCCAGACTTGTGGATGGTAGAGGGAAGGAATTAGGAAGTGTAGGACTAAGTTACACCTGATACAGGCCAAGGTCTTTGCAATCACTTGCTATGCATCAGAGATCTGGACAAGGACTAGGGATGAAAAAAGGAGAATTGATGCCTTTGAGCTTGGTGTTGGAGAAGAGAATTGAATATACCATGGACTGCTAAGAAAACAAACAGGTTCACCCTAGAGAGGGTGAAACCAGGCTGCTCCTTGGAGACAAGGCTTCTCAAGCTTCGTCTGACATGCTTTGGACATGTTACAAGGAGGGACCAGTCCTTGGAGAGGGACGTTATGCTTGGGAGGGTAGAGGAAAAGCACAGGAGGGGAAGACCCTCGATGAGGTGGATTGATTCAGTGAGTGGGGTAGTTGGGGTAGGTGTGTCAGAGACAGTGAGATTGGCACAGGATAGAGCAGGAGTTAGGGCTGTTGTACATAGGGTCACTATGAGTCACAGCCGACTCAACAGCACGTAACAACAACACGATGTGAGGTGTGGATAGACAGAAGTGCTTCAAGCTCAGCAGCCGCAGACTCTCATGACAGCTGAGGAGATGCTGCGCCCCCTAGGGGAGAGTCCCAGCCTGCACTCACGACAAGTAGGCACTCCCTTTAAAAAGGTACTTGTGCCAGAATTTCTCATTCACACAATGGAATACTATGCGGTACGCAGGAACAGTGATTTTGTAAATTCCTACCTAACATGGGAGGCACTGGAGAGCATTTTGCTAAGTGAACTAACTCAGTCTCATAAAGACAAATACTACATAGAAGCATTATTGTCGAGCATGTCTGAGGATCCGAGGAGGGAGGGGAGACTTAAATATAGGGTCACACATGATAAGTGGAGAGAGGGATTGGTAAAGGAAAGGAGAAAGGTCCGGTGTGAAAAAAATGTATATGAACTTTGTATGTAAATCAGTATAAAATAATTTTTTGTTTATTTATTTTTTTAAAAAAGAGGTACTTGTGGGCCCGAGCAAGAATGATGAGGTTTTGCCTCACATACTTTGGGCACGTTGCTAGGAGGGGCTGTTCCTTGGAGAAGGACGTGATGTTGGAAAGGGTGGAGGGTCAATGAAGGAGAGAAAGATCCTTAACCAGGTGGATTGATACGGTGACTACTGCAAGTGGGCTCTTTTGTGTCAGGAAGTGTGAGCATGGCACAGGATAGAACAGGGTTCAGATCTTTTGTTCGCAGAGTCGCTATGAGTCGTACTCCACTTGATGGCACCTAAGAATAACAAGTGGGCCCTTGGAAGATCTGCCCTTTCACCTGCCTGTTGCATTAACTCATGGTTCTAGTTACCTGCCTCAAACACACGGTTGGGTAGCTGAGCTTATCTCCAGAATCCAAGAATTGAGGTGGCCTGCCGTCTGGACTTCTGCTAATCCAGTCCCAGTGCCTGAGCCAGTCTCTGGACATTAGAGTCCCTCTGCTTTAATTGCCAATGGCAGTAACACAAATTACCCTGAGCTTAAAAGGCTTAAAACGACACCCATTTATTAATATACTGTTTCTGTGGATCAGGAGCCTGGGCCTGGCTTAGCTGGATTCTCTGCTTAGAGTTTTCCTAGGCCGAAGTTGAGGTGTCATCTGGGGTCAGGGTCTCATCTGAGGGTCAGGGTCCTGGCGCAGCTCACGTGGTTGCTGGCAGAACTAATTTCCTTGCTGAAGAGCTCATGGTAGTTTGTGTCTACAAAGCCAGAAGGAATGAGCATTTCTCTTTTGTTGTTATGTGCCGTAGAGTAAGAACCGACTCATAGCTGACTCTCCAAAGGCTTTTCAGGGGGTGTAATCATGCAGTCATGGGAGGACACTGTCCATCTTTCCCCTGAGGAGCAGTTAGTGGATTCGAACCACTTGCTTTTGGATTAGCAGCACAACTCCTTAACCACTAGGCCAACAGAGTTCTCTTAGATCCTCTTAAAAGACTCATCACAATAGATTAGACCAGGGCTGCATAATTTCCTGATTGTGCTCTAATCTGATCAACTGATTACCTCTGCCAAGACCCTTCATTTTTGCCATATGGCTTAACATCACAGTCACAGGTCCCATCCACACTCAAGGAGGGTTTGGGGGATTACACATGGTCAGTTCACCAGTGGGTGGGAATCTTGGGGACCATCTTCAAATCCTGCCTTCTTGGAATTCACACCCTCGATGGTTACCCACAGGACAACCGTATCCAGGGTGGTTATGAAAACGTGCCGACTATCGACATCCACATGAAGCAGATCAACTTTGAGAGGGAGTGGCACAAGTTCCTGGTGGAATACATTGCTCCCATGACGGAGAAGCTGTACCCCGGCTACTACACCAGGGTGAGTGTCAGCATGAGGTGGCAGTGCGCGTGGCTGGTGAGGGCAGGGGTGGTGAAGTAGCCTGGCCGGGATAGGATGGTGGGTGCCCAGGGAGGAATAAGATGTCCCCAGCTGGATGACCATCAGGAAATGGGGTCCCCATCAGAGTCTGGGGTTGGAGGAGGCACCCCTGGCCTCACATCTTCCCAGTCCTTTCTCTAAGCGCTTAATGCCTATCTCAGTGACTTCTAGATCAGCCCAGCCAATAAGCTCCCAGCTGGCTGGCTAGCATGCCTGTTTCTTAGATTCTCTCTGGCCCCATCTATCAATTGGCCCTTTGGCTTTCCCTCTCCCCTCCTTTTCTCCCTCAGCTGCTTCTCATTGTCCAAGTTTCCTCTGAACACATGCCCTGTGTGTGCCTGGGCCCTGCCCTCAAGGAATTACCAGGCTAGAGAAGACAGAAAATGTTGTAAAGCTCAGTTCTTCTCTCCTTTCCTCCTCTCTTCCTTTTTCCTTCCCTCCCTCATTTTTTCTCTCCCCCCTACCCTTTGTCCCTCCTTATTCCCATTCCTCTCTCTTCCTTTCCTCTTTCCTTTTTCATCTTCCTTCCTGACATTGTCCCTGTTTCCCTCCCACCTTCCTTCCCCACATTTTTATGAAAACTTTGTGTTCCAGGCACTGGAGAACACAGCCTTGAACAAATCTGCCCAGAGGGAGCGGCTGTTTTAGCCTAATCGATGAGATTAGATGAGGTGCTGTTTGTATTCCCCTCTGCCCTGGCCTTCCTTGGCTTCTGTCCGTTAACTTGGCTCTTGGTGCAGGCCCAATTCGACCTGGCCTTCGTTGTGCGCTACAAGCCTGACGAGCAGCCCTCACTGATGCCACACCATGACGCCTCCACCTTCACCATCAACATCGCTCTCAACCGAGTGGGAGTGGACTATGAAGTGAGTGGGGCGAGGGGCAGGCAGAGGGGAGGCTGGGTGGCTGCCTACAGAGTGGTGGAGGCAGGAGGACCTGAGTACACAGTTACTATTTTCAAGGGGTTTCTTTGCCCTCAGTCCTGGGCTGGGCATTGTGAAACACTCATAAAAAAACAGCGATAACTTTTTTAAAAATTAATTTTAATGAAAGTTTACAGAGACTTTGAATTCCATTTATTCATTGTTGCACTTTTCTCCCTGCCCAACCTCCTCCCCTGTAATTTTTTTTTAAATAAAAAGAAAGAATCTAGTCATTGAATGTCTCAAAAGGGAATACTTTTTAAAATTTTTTTTATTTATTATTATTTTTGGTGTGTGTACTGTCAAATTGGATCTGACTGGTACAGGAGGAGATTGCAATAGGGAATGGTTTTGTCCCTCCCTCACAAAAGCACATCTGAACCGTCTGGAGACATTTTTGGTTGTCAACCTGTGGAGGTACTTACTACTGGCATCTCATAGGTAGCAAGCAGCCAATGGATGCCTAGAATGGTCCCAACCACAGAGTATTATCTGGTCCAAAATGTCAATAATGCAGAACTTTAAATACTTGCACCTACACTCTTCTGTCATCTCATTTACATTCTCATAGCCTTTGGCAGTTTAATGCCCATTTTATAGGTGGGAATACTGAGAGTAGTGCTCTTACTCTCATTTGGGTCCCTGCTGAGCCTCGACCTTAGGCAGCTATGGCTATTATTACCCTGTGAGGCACCCTAGACGGGCTGTGCTGAGGGCCACTTGAGGGGTGACTAGGAGGGCAGTGGGGGAAGTGCTCAGCTTCCTGTTGGGGAACTGACACTTCCTGTTGGGACATTGATACTTCCTGTCTTCCAGGGCGGAGGCTGCAGGTTCCTGCGCTATAACTGCTCCATTCGTGCACCTCGAAAGGGCTGGACCCTCTTGCACCCTGGCCGGCTCACACATTACCACGAAGGGCTCCCCACTACCAAAGGCACCCGTTATATCGCTGTCTCCTTCGTTGATCCCTAATTGGCAGCAGCTTCTGGGGCTCTGGGTCCCAGGTTGCCAGTGTAGCCTCTAGGCCCTTGACTCCCCAGTTGCTCATGGAGCCACCAGCTGGAGAGATTGGCCATTCGGACCAGAGATGGAGCATCTCACCTCATCTGGGGCTTTCTGATGCCCTGGCCCAGCCTTGGGGAGACTGTTCATTCTACTGCTTTGTAGAGATTCATCCTCCCTTTTTCCTAAAAAACTGAGTAGTTCTTCCTAAGCTTTTTCCTCTGGATGAGACTTGAGCAGAACTGGGCCTTACCTGAGCTGCCCAGGTAGTGCTTCTCATAGGCAGCTCCATGGCTGTCCTACTTCAAGACTAGAGTGGAAACAGAGGTCTGACTCAGACCCATCCTGACCCTGGGACCACCGAAGCCACCTGCCTCCGTGGCTTCTCTCACAAGAGCAAAACCTTGTCCCTTGGAGACGGGGACTCAGAATGCCCATCCAGAGGTGGAAGAGAATCTATTTATGCCATAGCCGGATCCTTTCCTTGACCCTGGCTTGGGGAGTGATGTGTCTGCACAAAGTCCTGGGGGGCCCTGCCCCTGTGCCTCTGGAGAGAGGAACTGAATAAGAAATAGCAGCGTTTCTATTAAACATTCTTGCAGCCACAGTGTGGGAACTGCTGGGTGGGGGAGGTGTGGTGAGTGGCGCAGGGGGGTGCTTTAAGAACAAGTTTGATATGTTCAAGAGGCAAAAATGCTGCATCAGGAGACCCAGTCACCTGTGATTCTGTGTCATTTGTTTGTTCTGTAAACCCAGCCCTGGCTGGCAAAGGCGCACTTCAGCCGTTATGGCCTGTGGTGGAGATCACCACCTCTCTGAAGCGGCGCTGAGTACCATTTCTGCATACATGAATGGGGAAAACTGCTGTCTCTGGTGGCCTCCACCATTCACCGGACACAGGTCTAGCTCTGTTAACACGTCAAGGTATTATTGATAGGAAGACCTATCATCCCTTCATCTCTTTGTGTGTGTGTGTGTGTGTGTGTGTGTACCGTCAATTCGGATCTGACTGGTGCAGGAGGAGATTGTCCCTCCTTCCGCGGCAGAGCATCTGGTGGATTCGAACCGTGCACTCTGGGATTGCAGTGCAGCTTCTTGCCACTAGGCCACCAGAGCTCCTCTATCCCTTCATCTCTTGTTGCGACATGGGCAGCAGGCATTCAGCACACAGTCCTCTGGGCTAAACCCAAAACCCACTGCCATAGAATCGATTCTGACTCTTAGCAACTTTCTGTCAGGTTTCTAAGGCTCCCATCACCCATCTTACTCCCTCAGAGCAGCTAGGGGTGGGCTCCAAACTACTGACCTTTCAATGAGCTACTAAATATAAGCACTGTGGCACCAGGAGCTATAAGTTCCTTTTTTATTTTTTTTAACAGGTGGGGGGTAAAAATCAGACTTGAGTCAAGTTATTTGCATAAGGCCACACAACAAGTTCATGGTAGGGACAGAGATTTGAGTCAAATTGCAGTAATTGAAGAAATCTGGTCTGTGGACTGGGGTAGTAAATGCTGCAGTGGCTATACCAAAGCAGGGGAAGAGGCTTTCTGTGACTCGGTGCCTTTCGGCTGGAGGTAGTTTTGCCCTCTGCGGGATGTTTGGCAACATTTAGAGAGATGTATTGCACAGGGAAAGTCTGCAGTCAGGGACCTCTCCAGATTGCTTAGGAGTAATGATGTTGGTTTGAGGACTACAGGGAGCCTGATTCAGGCCATGGTCTTTTCATTCATTTGCTGTGCATCTGAGAGCTAAACAGTGAATAAGGATGACAGAAGAATTGATGCCTTTGAATGGTGGTGTTGGAGAAGAACACTGAATATCTCATGGACTGCCAAAAGAACAAATATGTCTTGGATAAGGTGAAGGCAAATTGCTCCTTGGAAGCAAAGATGGTGAAGCTTCATCTCGGATTCATTGGGCATATTGCTAGGAGAGGCTCTTCCTTGGAAGAGGACACCATGCTTGGAAAGGTGGAGGGACAGCAGAGGAGAAGATGACCCTCAGCCAGGTTTACACAATGACTATAGCAGTGAGCTCAAGGATGCCAGAGATGATAAAGATCGCACAGGATGGGACAGGATTCACATTTGTTGTTCATAGGTTTGCTGTGAACCATACTCAACATGACAGTGCCTAACAACAACAGATTTTTAGTTGCATCTAGTGGTTAGAGAGCAAGGATACTGTTAAACATCCTATAATGCATAGGACAGCCACCTACAATACTCAATTATCCAGGCCAAATAACTCTGGTTCCTCTACTGTTCATAGGGTTTTCAAAGACCTCTTATTTAAGAAGTGGATGGTTGATTCTGCTTCCTAGTCTGCCCTAATCTGGGAATTTCACCAAAAACCTATTCACTATGGGTAACCCTTATGGCGTTTGACATACCAGTGGCACAGCTTTCAGCATCACAGTAACTCACAAGTTATCACAGTACAGCAATCTGACAGACAAGTACTATACTGATTAGAACAATGTTCTCCTCAAATACAATGAACTGCCAATTTGATATATATACCTCTAATAGTAAATCAGTCTTTACACCAGGCCTGTGGGCATTCTGCAGTTAGGGACCTTTCCATATTATTGAGGAATAATAATACCAGTTTGAGGACTAAGGTGCATCTGATTCAGGCCACCACGGTCTTTCTGATCACTTGCTAGGCATCTGAGCAGTGCAATGAATAGGGACAACAAGAAAAATTGATGCCTTTGAGCTGTAGTGTTGGGGAAGAGCACTGAACATCCCATGAGTGTTCAAAAGAACAAATAAATAGGTCTTGGATAGATTGCAGTCACAGTGCTCTTTGGAGGCAAGGATGAGACTTCACCTCATATGCTCTGGGTAGGAGCATATGTAGGAAGGGCTGTTGGAGGGGGACATGATGCTTGGAAGGGTAGTGGGTTGGTGAAAGAAGAAGACCCTGAACCAGGTGGATTGACACTGTGACTGCCCTAGTGGGTTTAGTGTGTCGGGAAGTGTGAAGATGGCACAGGATAGGACAGGGTTCAGATTCACTATTCATAGGGTTGCTATGAGTTGTACTTGATGTCACCTAATAACAATAACTCTGGTGGCTTGGTGGTAAGGAGTTGTGCTGCCAACCCAAAGGCACCTGGTTTGACTTCACCAGCTGCTCCATGGGAGAAAATGGTCAATCTCCTCTTGGGCCATTTACTGCCTCTGCAAATCTGTTGGAGGGTCAGCTATAAATGGGTTCTGACTCAGTGACACACAACCATTATCAATAGAGGGGAGCTCGGTGGCCCAGTGAATAAGAAGTTGCTCTGCCAACCCAGAGGCACATGATTTGAATCCACTAGCTGCTCTGCAGAAGAATGATGGATAGTCTCCCATGTGATTTACTTCCTCTGAAACCTGTTTGAGGGTCAGCTGTGGCACAGAGCTTGACAGGATGGCACATAACAATGTCAACAGAAAGCAACTCTTTGGAGGCATAGCACCTTCTGTGTTATATTAATAAGACACACAGAAATGCAGGAGACTGATAAACTTGTCTTCAGAACCAAAGATTAGCAGTTTGAGTCTACCAGCTGCTCTGAGGGAGAAAGGTGGACAGTCTTCTGTTGCAGACTGACCGAGGGTGAAGTATTTTTATAATTATTAATGAGACAGACAGCCAGGAATGAGATAGAACAGAGAGCATAAAACGGGGCCAGCAGTTCTCAACTGAAGAGCCTCAAGCCATGCCTCTCTGTGTATTTATTGATAATTAGGGGAAACATGGATTGAAGGTCAATATAAAAAAGACAAAGATTCTTAACACTGGACCAATAGGCAGCATCAGGATGGATGGTGAAGAGATTGAGATTGTTCACAGCTTTAGTTTGCTTGGCTCCACAGTCAACATTCTTGGCACCAGTGGCCAGGAAAAGACATATTGCGATGGGAAAATCTGCTGTTACGGACCTCTCCAAAGTACTGAAGAGCAATGGTGTCTCTCTGGAGACTAAGGTGCATCGGATACAGGCCATGGTCTTTGCAATCACTTGTTATGCATCAGAGAGTTGGACATGACTAAGGAGGATAGAAGGAGAATTGATGCCTTTGAGCTGTGGTGCTGGAGAAGAGTATTGAGGGTACCACGGACTGCTAAGAAAACAAACAGATTCATCTTGGAGAGGGTTAAACCGGGCTGCTCCTTTGAGGCAAGGATTCTGAGGCTTCATCTGACATGCTTTGGTCATGTTGTAAGGAGGGACCTGTCCTTGGAGAGGGACATCATGCTTGGTAGGGTGGAGGGCAGGCGCAGGAGGGGACGGCCCCCTATGAAGTGGATTGATTCAGTGACTTGGGTAATCGGGATGGGTGTATTTGAGACAGTGAGATTGACACAGGACAGAGCAGAGTTTAGGGCTGTTGTATATAGGGTCGCTATGAGTCACAAGCTACTCAGCACATAATAATAAGAGGGGAAACAAATCATAAAAAGAATTCCTTGTAAATGAAGCCAAAATTTTCTCTATTGTCAACCTAATGCTTTAGCTCAGGAAGTATTTCACACGTAGTAACTTCTGTAGGGGGGCCCTAGCTGTCTCTTGTCTACAGGGAACAGCTCTTTTTCTGTGATCTGTCACAAGAGAAATCTTAACTTATTTGTAATTCCTTCAATTCCTGAGCAAGGGTTTTTATATAATATTCGGTATGAAGTTTGGCTTCCCATAGTCTTCTGTAAAGATTTACAGCCTCAGAATACCAGTGGAGGGTTGTTACGAATCAGAATCCACTCGCTGATGGTGGTCTGTTTTTAGTATAACAGGAGGATCCATGATGTCATAGTGGCTAACATGCTCATTTGCTAACCTAAAGGTTAGTGATTTGATTCTCTGACTTTCTTCTGCTCTTGAAGACAGATGTGGCAGTCAGCTTCATATAAAGATTCACAGCTTTGGAAATTCTGTTGAGTAGTACTTCTCTGTCTTGCTATGAGTTAATTAAAGGGCAATGGG